ATCCCTGGAAAGCTCAGGGTCGAGTTTCAGATCCAACAGAAGGAGTGTTTAAAAGCCCAAAATAGCACTGACCTCTGCCCTGTACTGGGGTCTGTGCAAGTTTTATGGTTGTCCTGTGTTGTCATGGTGGCATTATGTGTCATCAATCAGCTCATGGGGCAAGGTTTTATAGTTTTAATTTTTATGCCTGAATGGGTCAAATCTCCTGCAGTTTGTGGCTTACTAAAGGTTGAACATGTCAACCTGACTGGGTTTTCCTTGTCTGAATACCAAGCAGTATAAAATTAATAATGCAGCATTGTCAGAGGCTTTAGTTAGACAAAGTGTGTTGTTTCCTAACCAAAGTCCCTCACCTATATATAGACAAAATTTTGATAGCTTCTTAAAATGCAGAGGAACATGTGTTATGCCCCTGAGAGGGGGAATGATAGAGAATATTAGTTTTAGAGCAAACACAGGACACGAAGTGTACTGCTCACAGCTGCATCACTTTATAAGTTGTTTGATATTATGCATAGAATTAGGATTTATTACATTAAACTCTCTTTATAGCGCATTAGAAAAGCATACACTGTTCATGTGCTGAGCTAACACACACACATACACATACATTCACTTCACAACTTTTCAAAGGAAAGGAATATGCAAATTAAATACAGAAGCTCTCAACTAGTTCACTTTTAGCTTTTAAACTCACTTTTAGCTTAGCACAATCACAAGTAGGCAAATTTTTATACTTTCCCCATATTTCCCACAGCCTTCACTTACACAGAACAATAGTACCTAATTAACTTGGTACTTAAAGCTGTTGAACTCCATATTTCTCAATTTAGCTCTATATCAGTCACATTTTGAACACAAACTAGAGCAGCAAATCTAGCCATCAAAACAGGCTTAACAATAAACAACAGGCACTTCGCATTGTTTAGCTGAGCTACTTAGCCTTTTAGCATTACTCGTTCCATAAGTATAGCTCAGTTTAAATTACTAAAGAACAGTAAAGTAGTTTCCATACAAAATACGAACAGTGAAAATGAATAAAACTTACACAAGTCTCTTGTTAAATGAGCATTTAACTCCTTAGAATGAAGCTGGGTAGCTTATTTTTCTCCTTTAGCTTTTATCAGAGCACCAGGTCAGTGAGCTGAGCTAGTGACTTGCATTTTAGAAACGTCACATAAAGACGAAAGTTTGCTATTAAAACCACAGTCAAACAAGATTTCACAAACTAGGACGCTTCTTTAAACACCATACTTGGAATTTTCTTTAAGTATTTCGTACCTGAGAGGGGGAATGATAGAGAATATTAGTTTTAGAGCAAACACAGGACACGAAGCGTGCTGCTCACAGCTGCATCACTTTATAAGTGAGGCAAGCTAAACGTGCATTCTCTAGGTTCCCGCGCTCAGTCCGAACTAATTGCACATCAATGACAGGCTCGACCAATCAATCACACAATAATGTCTCATATAGAGAAATGCAGTGTTTTATCAGTATCAGAACAGTTAGAAACACGCTTTTTCTTTCTTTTCTTCTTTGAACATACTTTTTTTCTTTTCTTGTATCATTATCAAAACAGAAACATACTTTTTCTTTGTTTTCTTTTTTTTTTTTTAAGGGTGTCACACATGAACATGACTTGCTAGATTTGTTAGAATACCTACATTTGTTAGGACACAAAACATTCAAATTAAACTAAAAAAGGCCAAGAATAATCAATCCTCTGTTCAGTATTTAGGACAACTGGTTTTACAGGCTCAGGAGTCAATTTTATCTGACTGTTGTGCCACAGTGTGTGCTATTTTATTACTTGATACGTTAGCACAGCTGCAATCTTTTGTGAGGTTGTGCAGTTATTGACAACCTTGAATGAAGGTTTACGAAAAATCTGCTCAACCACTATATGATCTAACTAAAATGAAAAATCAGAAAACTGAGTTTCAGCTGATGATCAGTTAAAAGTTTTCATTCTCTTAAACCTGCATTATGCAGAGCCCTAGGTCTAGCGAACATGGAACTACCGTTCACACTGAATGTTTCAGAATCACTAGGGTTTGTGTCTAGCTGTTTAACTCAAACTCATGGTGACAAAGAGAAGTCTATGTTTTATTACTCTGCTAAAATAGACACGGTAATGCTTGGACTGTCACCTTGCCTGAGAGCAATCCAGGCAACCTTTATGCATGGTTTAGCTGTTGCTCCAAATTTTTATGGATCATGTTCTCTGATGGTCCAGTATGACGACAGATGACACACAGGGTGGACTGTCGCAAAGCAGTATGTAGAAATAGCTACAGGTAGATTGCCGGATCACCTGTGTTCTTGCTAAAGATTTTAAAAGCTAATGTCTTGTCATGGCAAATGCCATGATTACGGCTTGTTATGAAAGCTGCAGACAAACATTATGTCTGATAGTTTTACTTCAATACTTCCAGCCTTTATCTGAAGCTGTTGCTCAGAAACAGGTGTTGGATGCATAAGAACTTACAAAGGGGGGTCACCCTATTGTCTGAGGACAAACGTTTAAGGTGCATAACACTCAGCCATTAGGGCCAAAATGAAAAGGTCCATATCAAGTCCTCCTTACCACATTCTCTGCTCTAAAATGTCAAGAAAAAAATGGATACATGGGTACCACCACCTGATGGTGATGGCTAGCACAGGGATAGAATGGGTGACTCTGGTTGGGAGATGCTCTGAGGAGGAACTGTGATATTTAGATCATGGGGGTTATCCTCAGAGTGAAGATTTTTCTAATTCCCCTTTGCGGCTAGCGCTCCCCTACTCCCACCAGAGGCCAGGACCCGTGTTAGGTAGGGAAAGAAGATTTTGATTACAAGGGCTAAAATCAAAAAGTTACCTAAGGGTATACGAAACGGTTTGTGTAAGAAACACATGATACTGCCGCTGTGTCTATGTGTTTTGTTTTTAGGATATGCCCAGAGCAGACCTGAGACAGGGGCGAAGAAACAGGACATTAGACGGGTTCCTGATTGGTGGTCGACCAACTGACATCAAAGCATATATAGGTCCACTGACTCTGCCCTGCAAGCTGTTTGGACACATCAATGTGTGCTCCCTCTGTTCTGGAAGAAAAGACAGCTACCACTGTGACAAGCTGCATAATAAACTTGTTTTATTTATTACAAAAAAGGAATAAAGAATGATGAAACCTGTAGTTTTCATAAGCATTCTGACAATAGCTTTCGCAGGCATGATGGAGGATGTTTGTGACCACAACATGGTCTGTGCTCAGGCCATTCTGTAAGCACAAAATTATACCTTAGGAGGAGATGGTTGTCATGCCTTCTCAAGGTCTAATATTTCTGCACAAGCTTTATGTACAGATCAGTTCACTTCTGAAACCATGAGAATAATAGCAAATGATGGTAGACGGTATAAGTGATGATAACTGGTCGTTGCCTATTGTTAGATGTCTGAAGTCAAATAGATCCGCCTGTTATAATCCAGATGCTGATAGCTTCCGGATTGTTGGCTGGCAGTATACGAGTTGGCAATACTAATTACAACTTTATAGTTCATGGCTATAAAAATAGTAGCTATTGTTATTTACTCTTGCCTCAAATTACTTTAAGTGCTTAATGACTAAACTACACCAGCGTAGACGTTCTTTATGAACATGGAAACACTTTATATCCCCATTTGCCTGTGCATGAACTGAAGGGAAAGAGACCTGTCTTTAGGATGTATAGAAAGGGGGAAATACTGGCCACATTTCTCCGTAAGAGGAAAGGACAGATTGATTACACTGTGAGAACATACATTTTAGAGTATGTTCTAAGGGGGGAATGTATAAATGTACTGCTCTGTAATGTGTTTAGTGTTGTGTTATATGTCATTGTATTCTGTATTGTGTGCCTGTTCTGTGAATGTATTTAGAACATTCTTCTGTCTATTCTTGTTTATCCCTACATGGTCATGTCTGTCACACCTGTCACTTGTCATGTATAGGCTGGGCCTAATCTTGGCATCAGTCCAGCTATAAAGCTGCATCAGCCCATAGTCTTACTCACTGGCTAGGTGTCTGGTACCTGTACGCAAATGAATAAAACTTCTCCAGACATCAGGCTTGTTCCCCTGGTACAGTTAGGGCTTGGATTCTTCACCACAGAGCACCACTGACCAAATTGGAATATATTCTTTTCTGGAAGTTTGAGCTGTTAAACCAGTTTGGTTTTTGGTTAGAAGCTAAACTGGAGCCAAAGAATGTGAGCACACTACTGCCAACAACACACACACACACACACCTGCACCTAGAGATTTACAATGTGCTTTTCTGAGCATTTTGTAGATGTGTACTTAATGTGATCAGTGCTTAAAGATAACTGCCTAGCATTCTCTCTCTGTCTGTCTGTCTGTCTCTCTCTCTCTCTCTCTCTCTCTCTCTCCCCCCCCCCTCTGTCTCTCTCTCTCTCTCTCTCTCTCTCTCTCTCAGTATTACTGTGTTCAGTCACTCCTGTGTGTGGAATGTGGTTTGTTGTTGTTTGGAATCTGGAAGTAGTTCATGTTTTTCTAATGAAATCATTGAGACACACATTGAGTTGTGAACCTGAACAGAAACACAGTAACTTCCTGAAGTTCTCCTGCAGTAACTCTGTCACTGAGCTTCATGCTGTGTTTCTCTTCATGTATGAGTGGAACATTAGAACCTGTTTAATCTGACTGTACATGGATGATGTAGTTAATAATGAGACCATTAGAACAGCAGCACTGCTGTCTGTCTGGATTTCTGGATCATTTACAGTCTATTCAGTGTTTACTGACTTTACACATATAAACTCAAAGCACTGAGGATTTACACATCAGTATGAAGTTTTATACTCAAATACACGTTTGAAGAGTTTGATTTGACCTCAGATACACTTTTAATATAATGAGAGTAAAATGTGCTCCAACTGGTTTTCTCTTTCTAAAGAAAAGGAAGTTGTCAGATTATCATTCAGTCTGGACTGTGATTGAGTGTGTGTACAGGTGTGTGTACATATGTGTGATTTAATAAACCAGTCTGTAGTGAGAAACTACAGATCGTATTATCATAAATGAGCTGATGTGTGTCTCTGCTGTAGGACTGGAGATCCTGATAAAGACGGAGCTGAACTTTTCTACCTAAAGACTCTGAAAGACTCTGAACTCTGACCTCAGAAACAGGTAACTTTATTATTTCTGTTTTTACTGTTTGTGCATTTGACCTTCAGTGTGAAACAGACTTTCAAACCGGTTAGAGAGATGTTTTACACTTCTGATCGATGGATTCTTTTGTTGTGTTTCCTCAGTTATGTAATGTTTCACACTGTGTTTCTTTGCTCTTTGTACGGTTGCTGAATGTTCAGTGCTGAGTCTGTGTAAGCTTTAATAAGAAGACTGCACATTTGTTAGAGATCTTCTGTGATGGTGGAAGGGAAATATAAACTTTAATATATTTTAAAATGACGTTTTGTAGAATATCAGTGGTTTGCATCAGCACAAGTAGAGCTGAAACTACTGACCAGAAAACATTGTTGACCCCTTTAAAGTGACAGTCACTGCCGCAGGTGGTTTTCAGTAGTGCTGCAGTTGTTTAGACATGCAGTGCTTTCAACTGACGAAGAAATATTAAAACCTACATGATTCGCGTCCTTTTTTGGAGTGAGCAATCCCATTATTCTGTTCAGTGAATCATTAGCATTTGGAGAACTTGATGGACAAAATCACTGCAGCACATTTACAACTTTTACTGCAGCTAAAGGTTCTTTCAGATTGAAATGCTGTCCAACAAGACTCATACCAATGCCTGTAACCACAAGGAAAGTGTCTCTCTCTCTCTCTCTCTCTCTCTCTCTCTCTCTCTCACTCACTTACACACTCAAACACACACACACACACACACACACACACACACACACACTCTCTCTCTCTCTCTCTCACTCACTTACACACTCAAACACACACACACACACTCTCTCTCTCTCTCTCTCACTTACACACAGAAACACACACTCTCTGTCTCTCTCTCTCTCACTTACACACACACACTCTCTCTCTCTCTCTTTCTCTTCCACACTCACTGAGACACACACACACTCTATCTTTCTCTCTCTCACACACACACTGACACACACACAGATCATCGCTGATCAAACTACTGACCACACAGCACTGCTGATCAAACAACTGACCACACAGCATCGCTGATCAAACTACAGACCACACAGCATCGCTGATCAAACTACTGACCACACAGCATCGCTGATCAAACTACAGACCACACAGCATCGCTGATCAAAGAACTGACCATGCAGCACTGCAGATGAAACTACTGACCACACAGCACTGCAGATGAAACTACTGACCACACAGCATTGCTGATCAAACTACAGACCACACTGCACTGCTGATCAGACTACAGACCACACAGCATTGCTGATCAAAGTACTGACCACACAGCACTGCTGATCAAACTACTGACCACACAGCGCTGCTGATCAAGCTACTGACCACACAGCACAGCAGATCAAACTACTGAACACACAGCACTACAGATCAAACTACTGAACACACAGCACTGCTGACTAAACAACTGAACACACAGCACTGAAACAAATGAGTACACAGCACTGCTGACTAAACTGGAATATACTTTTTGTGGAACTCTGAAGTTACGCAGTTATTTGTGGAAAAGCAGAGCTCTCTCTCTCTCTCTCTCTCTCTGTCTCTCTGCGCGGGTGTGAGCGGTAGAGTGAGCGGAGCGCGGTGAGCGTGAGTGCGAGTGGTTGGCGTTTTGCCAAACTTCTTTTCTCTGTTGTTGTGTCGTTGTCCGTCTGTATCTGTAGTTTGTTTGAGTGAGTGAGTGTGTGTGTGTGAGTGAGGTGTGGTAGGGTGTGTGCGGGGCGTCTGTTACCGGCGATTTGCTGGGAGCATGGCGTCCCAAAGCCCCAGGCTGTATGAAAGCCTGTCTCGCCGGCATGGTGTGAAAGTAGAGTGCCGCGCGAGTGTGGAGGAGTGCTGTTTGGCGGCGGGGAGCGTCGTTGGGTACAATAATGTTGTGTCTGCTTCGCGCATGAACAGCGCTGTGGTGATGTTTCTGTCCACTGTGGACAAAGCCAACGAACTGGTGCAGAGTGGACTTGTGATTAATGATCAGTTCGTGTCTGTTCTGCCCCTCAGTACTCCCTCCAAAAAGATCATTCTGTCCAACGTCCCCCCGTTTATCTCTGACGAGCTGATCGCTCAGGAGCTGTCCCGGTTTGGGAAACTTGTCTCCCCCATAAAAAAGATCCCCCTCGGCTGTAAATCGCCCCTGGTGAAGCACCTGCTGTCGTTCAGGAGGTTGGTGTTCATGGTGCTGAGAGATGGTGAGGACGAGCTGGACCTGGTGCTGAAGTTCAGAGTGGAGGGGTTTGAGTACACGGTGTTTGTGTCATCTGACACCAACATGAAGTGCTTCAGGTGCGGCCAGACCGGACATCTCGTCCGAGCCTGCCCTGAAAAACTCGGTGCTAACGCGAATGATGCCGGGAGCGCGGAGCGGCCGGGGCCTGCCGCGGCTGAGCCCGCGGTGGCCGTCCCCCCTGCGGCTGCTGCTCGGCCGGCTGCGCTGGACCCGGCACCTGCGGGGGAAGAGCCGGCTGTGGCCGTGCCGGCCTCGGAAATGTCTGCTGGGGTTGCGCCGACCGCGGACGAGCCTTGCCCGGCGGCGCTAACCGCGGAGGAGCCCGCTGTGGACGAGCCTGGTGGTGAGGAGCAGGAGTGGGGGATTCCTGACCCGGGGGAGCAAGATAACCAGGTAAGGGACAGCGGGACTGAGGTCAGTCTAGCTGGTACAGCAGTGGAGGCTGCAGTGGAGGTGGAAATGGTAGAGGAGACTGTTTTTAAAGTTCCTAATAAAAGAAAGAAGCGGAACCGAGGGAAGGGGACTAAACAGGCCAAAACAGACAGCAGTGCAGTGAATGAGGTGGAGTCTGAGAGCGAAGGCTCTCTGTCTGACTCGGGCTGGTCGGTGTGCTCGCAGGAAGAGAACATGGCTGTACTCTATACTGTTGATGATATAAGAAAGTTCTTGCGGGTCACTAAAGGCCAAAAGGGTGTACGTGTTGAAGAGCATTTCCCAAACAGTTCACAGTTCATTCATGACGTCAGGCATTTTAGGAGGGAAGGGTCCCTCACCGCTTTAGAAGTCTACAGGCTGAAGAAGATCCTGACCAGACTTAATAAAGTGAGCACTGAGGATGAGATCTGACACTTCCTGCCCTCCCTGGTTCAGAATGGCCTCTGTTTTTAGTGTTTTTTATCTATTTTATTTTTTAATGGGTGATGTCAGAGTGGCGAGTCTGAACATTAATGGGGCGAGAGACTGTGGAAAAAGAGCAAAGCTATATGAGTTGGTGAAGCAGAAGAGACTTGATGTAATATTTGTACAGGAAATGCATAGTGACGTCAGTAACGCTGCAGACTGGGCTAAAGAGTGGGAGGGGCTTGCCTTTTTAAGTCATAACTCTTCTTCCAGTGGTGGGGTGGCTGTTCTTTTATCACAGAATTTTACTCCTTATTCTTATTCAGTGGATGAAATTTTAAATGGCAGACTTTTAAAAGTGACAGCGTGTTTTGAGAACACTGTTTTTGTTTTTATTTGTGTTTACGCCCCAACTGGGGGGTTGGACAGGATGTCCTTTTTGGAGACTCTGGACACCGTAATTGCAGGTTGTGGGTCTGATGAGTTTTTAATACTGGGTGGGGATTTTAACTGTACAGCAGACAGCATGGACAGGAACCACATGGAACCGCATGCTGCGTCCCGTAAGAGATTGTGTGAGATGCTGGAGACCCATGACTTGTGTGATGTCTGGAGGAACTTCCATGGAGGGCAGAGACAGTATACCTGGGCACATTCAAGAGATAACACACTCTCATTGGCAAGGCTGGATCGATTTTATGGTTTTAGGTATCAACTTTCTGCTTTTACACGCTGTCTTATCTCCCCAGTTGGTTTTTCAGATCATTGTATGGTCCAGTGCACAATGAGGAAATGTAACGTTAAGCCGCAGAGTGCATACTGGCATTTTAACACTGCGCTTTTACAGGATGCCAATTTTAGAGAGTCTTTTACTTTTTTTTGGGATGTTTTTAGCTCAATGAAAACATCTTTTAGCTCCCTGCTGCAGTGGTGGGACATAGCTAAAATACAAATTAAAGTATTCTGTCAGCAGTACACTCTAAATGTCACAAGGGACATAGCCAGATCTCTCAAAGCTCTGGAGACTGAAATAGTGGCGCTCCAGGGTTTAGCAGAGGCCACAGGAAATCGGGGGCATATTGAAGCTCTGAAAACTAAAAAGACTGCATTGGCTGACCTTTTAGGCATAACAGCACAGGGGGCGCTGGTCCACTCACATTTCCAGTGCGTATCGGAAATGGATGCTCCTTCAAAGTTCTTCTTCGGTCTCGAGCGCAGAAATGGACAGAAAAGGTTTATGTATGCTGTGCGTACAGAATCAGGGGATCTCTTATCTGAGCCTTCTGAAATTCGCCAGCAGACAATCAGCTTTTTCTCAAAGCTATACGAGAGCGAGTGGGCAGAGGCACGAGAGGTGGAGGAGGATTCTTCCGTGACCACAGCCAGCTCATGCGAGAGTCTGCTGCAGTGCTGGATGCCGATATCTCTCTGGGGGAGCTGTATGAGGCTCTTCAAGGCATGGAGAATGGTCGGGCGCCAGGTATTGATGGTCTCCCTGTTGAATTTTACAAAGCGTTTTGGTCAGTGTTGGGGCAGGATGTGCTGGATGTCCTCCAGAACAGCATAAGGGAAGGGAAGCTTCCGCTGAGCTGTCGGAGGGCCGTTCTAACCCTGCTACCCAAGTAGGGGGACCTAGCTGAACTGAAGAACTGGCGCCCCGTCTCTCTGTTGTGCACTGACTGCAAGCTGCTTTCAAAAACGTTAGCCTCGAGACTGGGGAAGGTGATGGAGCAGGTGGTTCACCTTGACCAGACGTACTGTGTGCCTGGAAGGTCGATTTTTGACAATGTATATCTAATTCATGATGTTTTGGAAGTCTCCAGACTATTGGGCTTAAAGACTGGTCTTATTTTTTTGGATCAGGAAAAGGCATTTGACCGGGTTGAACATGGCTATCTGTGGAAAGTTCTGGAGAACTTTGGTTTCAATCCAGGTTTTA